GATGATACTTCACTCCAAACCAGATGAAAACGGTAAATGCTTTCGTTACAAGCTAACGTTTTAAATACGGAAACTTCTTTTCATGTCCTTTATTGAAGTTATAGCTGAGTTGCGTGATTGCCGATTTAACGCGGTGGTAGGTCCACGCAACAGTGTTCGCTGTTGTAAGAATGAGCAGGTCCATCCGGGTTAGTACCACGACCTCACAAAAGACCGGCGTAAAGTAGAAGCGTTGCACTTCTGCGTTTCGTCTGGTGAGTGAAGTAGCCGGGGCCCGTATTATTAAGAGGTGGCAACGCATCCACAACCCTACGGGTGTTGCAAATGTCCATGGGCAGGCGGTTATCACTTAATATCAGGTGAACCGCCAGCTCGTTTGCCACTTTCTCACATAAAAAAAGAGTTATAATTGAATACTCATATTTAATTAACATTACAGGTAAGCCGGTATTCACAGTGCTGCCGCGTGATCAGAGCGTGCGCCTCAATCAGGCTGTGAAGTTTGATTGTGCAGCTAAGGGTAACCCCACACCTCACATCATGTGGTTCTTTAACAGAGAGAGGATTTTGTTGTCAGACCGCTTATCAATGCGTCACAATGGTTCTATTATCATTGAAAAGGTACAATATGGTGATGCTGGGATATACACGTGCCAGGCAGAAAACGTAAATGATAAAGTATCAGCTAAAGCCACGCTGAAAGTCATGGGTAATGTTAATTTCTTCAGTTTTTGAATGCTACTTGAAATTGCTTCGCATAAAACTAAACTTAAATATTGTTGTTCCAGTTGCACCCGCGTTTACACTTGTGCCCAGGGATCAAACAGTTATTCTAGGCGATACAACCACATTCAGATGCACAGCGAGGGGAGAACCAAAACCCGTTATAACCTGGTATAGAGATACAATGACACTGCCTCCGAGTGAAAATATTATTTTTTCCGACGATGGCCAAAATTTAACGATCGTTCAAGCAACAAAAGACGACGATGGGTTATATCATTGCAGAGCCGAAAACTCCGAAGGCCTCACTGAAATATCGGCAATACTCAAAGTGAATGACCCGGTGATTATTCCACCTAAAATTATTGTGAAGCCTGAAGATACGGATGCTTTCAAAGAAACATCGATCCAAATGCCATGCGAAGTAGACAGTGAACCTCCCGCGTTGATAGAATGGCGAAAGGATGGTAGGCATGTGGAACCAGATCACAGAATATCAATTTCCGTTATTGGTAGCTTGATAATCAATAATCTCACGGTTGCTGACTCAGGTCGTTACGAATGCTCAGCTTTTAACGACTACGGCAGGGACACGGTGTCAGTGTTTCTGACAATTAAGGACCGTATTTTACCGGGAGACGAATATGTTAATATAGCCTTGACGGAAGCTACTCGTGATGTAGATCAAGCTATTTCTAAAACGATGGAACAGCTATTTCAAAATAAATCGAAAGGCAACTTCCAAGATTTGTACAGGCTGACTCGGTTTCCTAACGCCCCGGCAAGAGAAGTCGCCCGCGCGGCCGAAATATACGAACTGGCATTGGAGAAAGTCCGACAGTTCGTCCAATCCGGATCAAAGATCACTTCTGCCGAACCGTTTAATTATGAGCAAGTGCTTTCAGGAGAGCATTTAGAAGTTATCGCCCGTCTGTCCGGTTGTGTCGCTCATAGAGAGGAAAAGGATTGTTCGGATATGTGTTTCCACTTAAAATACCGAAGCGTAGACGGCAGTTGTAACAACTTGGCCCATACAACTTGGGGAACCTCGCTTAGCGCATTCCGAAGAATACTTTTCCCGGTGTATGAAAATGGTTTTAGCCAACCTTTAGGGTGGAACAAAAATATTAAACACAACGGACACCACCTACCAAGCGCCCGTTTGGTGTCCACTAAAATTATAACTACCAACGAAATATCTGAAGACATTGAAATCACGCACATGGCTATGCAGTGGGGTCAGTGGCTAGATCATGATTTGGACCACGCGCTTCCGTCCGTGAGTTCACAAACATGGGAGGGTGTTGATTGCAAAAAGACCTGTGATTATGCTGCCCCCTGTTTCCCCATAGATGTTCCGGATGGAGATCCGCGCATTAATAACCGGCGCTGCATTGATTTCATAAGGACAAGTTCAGTCTGCGGCTCTGGTATGACATCCGTACTATTTGGTAAACTTCAGCCAAGAGAACAAATCAATCAACTTACTTCTTTTATTGACGCGTCCCAAGTATATGGCTTTGAAAAATCTGTGGCCGATGATTTGCGTGACCTCACTAACGACAGTGGCTTATTGCGTGTGGGAGCAACTTTCCCTGGAAAGAAACCATTGCTGCCTACCATAGGAATAAATGGCATGGACTGTAGACGAAACTTAGAAGAAAGTACTCGAAACTGCTTTGTCGCCGGTGATATAAGAGCTAATGAACAAATTGGCCTTGCAGCAATGCACACTATTTGGATGCGCGAACACAATCGGATTGCTACCCAACTTAAAACTATTAATCCGTTCTGGGATGGTGACAAACTTTACCAAGAGGCGCGCAAAATCGTAGGTGCACAAATACAGTTCATTACTTATGAACACTGGCTACCATTGGTGCTTGGCTCTGAAGGGTACGAGCAATTAGGTAAATACAACGGATACGACCCCAAAATTAATCCTTCTATATCTAACGTCTTTGCTACAGCAGCTCTTAGGTTTGGCCATTCTATGATCAATCCCATTCTTCATCGTTACGATGAAAATTTTGAACCAATAGCTCAAGGACATTTGCTTTTGCGCAACGCTTTCTTCTCTCCATGGAGGCTCGTCGATGAAGGGGGAGTAGATCCACTGCTGAGAGGCATGTTTTCAACACCGGCTAAATTGAAGACTCCTACCCAAAATCTTAACTCCGAACTTACTGAACAACTGTTTCACACAGCACACGCTGTAGCACTTGACTTAGCTGCGATAAATATTCAAAGAGGTCGTGACCATGGTTTACCACCATACATTAAATGGCGAGAGTTTTGCAATATGTCCGAAGTCAACGGCTTCGATGATTTGGAAAACGAAATTTCGGACAAAAGTGTACGAGACAAGCTTCAAGAGCTCTATGGTACTGTTTACAATATTGACGTTTGGGTAGGAGGCATTCTGGAAGATCAAGTTGAAGGCGGTAAAATTGGACCACTATTTAGATGCATTTTAGTGGAACAATTCAAACGTTTGAGGGACGGTGATCGCTTTTGGTACGAGAATCCAACGACGTTCAATCCTCAGCAAATCCAACAAATTCAGGAAACAAGCTTGGCTCGGATCTTGTGCGATAACGGCGACAACATTGATACCATCGGCGAAAACGTTTTCCTGCTGCCAGAGGCTCAAGACGGACTTATTTCCTGTGATGATTTACCATCTATTGACCTGCGCTATTGGGCGGACTGCGAAAATTGTGCCGAAGCAAATGATGATACGGCCGCGAAGCGTCGATCTCGCAGGGACTTGTCTAAGGGTAGCGAGTTCTATAAACAATTCGCTGACTACGAGGATCGACTGAATGATTTAGAGGGCGCACAGGACATCTTAATGAAAGAGATAAAGCACCTGAAGAATCGTATCAAAATTCTCGAAGACACTTGCAACACACAATGATGTCAGAAAAGAGCGAAAGATTGCACTTAAAAAGGCCTCCCATTATTTAATATAGTAGTAATTGTTAGACTCGTATATTCTGTAACCTAGCTAACTGTAAACTTCTTCTTTCCTATTTGATCCAAATATGCGTGTGCTTACTTCAACAATTAAAACCCCCTCCTTATAATATTTCCAGTTACAGACTCTGTCTTATGCTGCCCTTTTCCATTCTTAGTTTCCGTAAATAATATAAGTCATTGTTAGATTCATAGTTAGTGACGAGGGTTCTTTTTTAAAGTATCACAAGATAAATTACGAGGAAAATGAATTACCATTCTTTAGGATTTTTTCATGAACATCTTGAAAAACTTATTATCACGCATGGATCAGCTCCCAAGACTGCTTCTTATACCATTTACAATAAATGTAATTAAATTAGGGAAGTAAAGTCTAGTCTTAGATACCATTTAAAAATTAATTAGAGTAAATTTCAAATAACAGTAATTATGGTGTATATTGTACAGATGGACGTTGTGGCAATGCGACCAAAATTGACTGCTGTACGCAGTAATGAACAATATTTTTGCGAAAAGTATCTTTTTCCAAATTAAGTAGGATATCTTTCGGGGTCAAAATGTTTCGTACTTTTTCGGAGAGGAAACGTAAAAACCGGTTGTCCTAAAAATAAAATAGATAAAAATGTGGGCCATTTAATCTACGTAGATTAAGCATTGCCGTGTGGTTTCGGCGTAAGAATAAGCCACCCCATCTCATCCCGTGGGTGTCGTAAGAGGCGACTAAGGGACAAGCCACAAACATCTGGAGGCCTCCGATAGATGGGGGACCATTTCCACTCTCCAGACCCTGAATACCCAGGCCAATAACGAACTGCAGCGTAAAAGATGCGAGGTATCTGGAGAAACTACGCTTGCCAACCCACTTGCCAGGCGTGGCAACTATGGCTAAAGTCCCCTCATGCTGGAAGTCCGTTTCAGGACAGTCTGTGTTCTTATGTTCAGCAACGGATTCAAACAGGCTGATATGATGATGAATGATGGGATTGTGTATTTAAGACTATGCAATGAATGTAATCTGACTATGACTGCAAAACAAAAAATCGCAATGGCGAACTAAAATCGAATCCCGCAAACATGATCCACTTAAAATCAGATAAAACCGGTAAGTGTTTTCGTTATAGGCTAATGTTTGAAATACAGATACTTCGTCTATTCTTCTTAAATTAGGTTTTAACGAGGTTATATTTGGATTCCAAAGTTTAATTCTCTTTACAGGTAACGTGATGACGCTAAAGGGGTAACCCGACACTTCACATCATGTAGTTCTTCAACAAAAAGAGCTGTCTGGCCGCTTACCAATGCGTCACAATGGTTCTATTATCATTGAAAAGGTACAATATGGTGATGCTGGGATGTACACCTGCCAGGCAGAAAACGTAAATGATAAAGTAACAGCTAAAGCCACTTTCAAAGTCATGGGTAATATTAAATTTCTTCAGTTTATGTATGGTAGTTGAAATTCCTTCGCATCAAACTAAACTTAAATATTGTTGTTCCAGTTGCACCTGCGTGTACCCATGTGCCAAGGGATCAAACAGTTATCATTGGCGATACAACCATATTCAGACGCACGGGAAGGGGAGATCCAAAACCCATTATAACCTGGTATAGAGACACCATGACGTTGCCTCCGAGTGACAATATTATTTTTTCCGACGATGGCCAAAATTTAATGATCGTTCAAGCAACAAAAGACGACGATGGGTTATACCATTGCAGAGTCGAAAACTCCGACGGCCTGACTGAAATATTGGCAATACTTAAAATGAAAGACCGGTGATTATTCCACCAAAAACACTGTGAAGCCTTAAGACACAGATGCTTTCAAAGAAACATCAATCCATTTGCCGTGCGAAGTAGACAGTGAACCTCCAGCGTTATTAGAATGCCAGACATGTGGAATCAGATCACAGAATTTCAATTTCTGTTATTGGTAGCTTGATAAATAATAATCTCACTGGTTACTGACTCCGGACGTTACGAATGCTGAGCTTTTAACGACTACGGTAGGGACACGGTATCAGTGTTTCTGACAGTTAAGGATCGTATTTTATTACGTCAATATAGCCTTGACGGAAGCTTCTTGGGATGTTGATCAAGCTATTACTTAAACGATGAAACGGCTATTTCAAAATATTTGTACAGGCTGACTGAGTTCCCTAACGCCCCGGCAAGAGATGTCCGCGCGGCCGAAATATACGAACGGGCATTGGAAAATGTTCGACAGTTCGCCCAATCCGGGTGCTGAGCCGTTTAATTATGAGCTTTCGGGATAGCATTTAGAAGTTATCGCCCGACTTCCCAGTTGTGTTGCTCATAGAGAGGAAAAGAAATATCGGCAATACTTAAAGTGAAGGACGTGGTGTTTATTCCATCAAGAAGCCTGAAGACACAGATGCTCTTAAAGAAACATCAATTCAAATTTCGTGTGGAGAAGACAGTGCACTTCCCGCGTTGATAGAATGGCGAAAGGATGCCAGGCATGTGGATGGGTTCAGTCCACCTTTGGAATAAACAAAAAAAATATTAAATACAACAGACACCACCAACCAAGCCTTTTTGGTGTCCAGTATATTTATAACTACAAACGAATCACAAGACGTTGAAATCACGCAGTGGGTTCAGTGGCTAGATATGATCTGGACCATGTGCTTCCGTCCATGAGATCATGAACATGGGACGGGATTGATTGCAAAATTGTATTTTTGTTGCAGAACATTCATAACATCAGATAAAAGGCCATAGGCTTAGGACGGACTTATATACCGCGAGGATCTACCGTCAATTAACCTACGCTATTTAGCGGGCTGCCACAATTGTGGTGAATAGACTGACGATAAGACCAAGAAGCGTCGATCCCACAGGGACTTGTCTTCGGGTAGCGACTGTTGTAACTAATCTACTAGGATCAGTTGAGTGATGTAGAGGGCGCACAGGACATCTTAAAAAGAAAACGGTCCTGAAGAATCATGCTCAAATTCTCGAAGATTATTGTAACACACAAGTTGAGCATTTAAAACGGCCTCCCAGTATTTTATGTAGTTGTAAACGTTAGACTCGTAGATTCAGTAACCTAGATAATTTTGAACTTCTTCCCTATATGCACTGGTCCTTCCTGGTCCTTCCTCAGGTTATCCTTTACCATTGTAGGTTTCCGTTAATAATATAATTACGGATTATTATTAGTAGTATTCGTATTAGCGGGACAAGTGTCCTTTTTAAAGTAACATACATGAAAGTTAAATTCAAGTTTTAGGTTTTTTTTTTTCACGAAAATGGAAAAGACATCGATTAGCTCCCAAGACTTTATAGTTATGTTAAACCACGTATAATTAGTAGGGTTAATTCAGAGAAACTGTCTTAGATAATATTTATAATTAATTAGATTAAATTTCACAAAATCTTTGAGCTTTATCTAAAACTAGCAAATTTCACACCTAGAAACTAATGTAATCATGGTGAATGTTGTGGTAGATTTATTTATTATTTATAAATGAGTTTTGCCATTGTAGCTTCTAAAGCTGATGCCAAATTTGACTGCTGAATGCAGTATTAAAAATTTTTTTGCAAGAAAAAAATATTGTTTTCGAAGTTTACTAGGATATCCTTTGAGGTCGAAATTGTTTTGTAAATTTTTTCGAGAATAAACGAAAATCAGGTTCCGTCCTAAACCTAAAATTGATGAAAGTCCAACAGTGGGCTTATATATTATTATTACCACGTATATTATATAATACGCTATTAACATAAACGGTTAGAAAATTTATAAAACAAAAAAATATATAAAAATGTAGTTTATGTTTAGTGACTGGAAGCATAGGGATGGGATAACAACCGGATAGGCGTATTGAAAATTTTTTGGTGCTGGTTAGATAATAAGTATTCATAGCATAACATTAACAATTAGTGGTTTGGCAAAAATGAGTGCAACAGATGTCCAGTGGGGATACTTGTAAAGTAACGAAGAGGCAAACGTACTTGTAAATACTAATTAAAGTTAGAAAATTAAGCAGTTATTTTAAGGGGGTCGGTGCTTATAAAGTGAAACATATGGTTTGGCGACTGATATAATTAATACGGACGCAGATTACTTAGAAATGATACTCACTCGTACTATATTGAACTTAAGAGATATTTGACGCCAGGAAGATCTCATGGCCTCCGATAGATGGCGGTATAACCATCTCAATAATGTCAGTTAAATACCCAGGCATTTGACGGACAGCTAAGGAGCGAAGTTTGAATCTGCGATCGACACTTGGCTTAAGGTTGGCGAGCACAGCTTCCTCTTCACCTATCAAACATTCAACCAGAGGACACCCCGATCGCGGGGGATTAAATAACGATTAGACAAAGGGCAAGTAAATATTAGCCCCATTCCAGTTTTGTATTTTAATTGTGATCTCTATCTCTATTTAATTGTGATTTGTTTCTTAATTGAATGTGCCACTATTAATTTCATCATGTTCATCAGTCTTCATAGGTTTTAGTATTTGTAAGCAATTTTATTAATATTAGTATTTAGTTGACTCCATAAATGGTAACAATTTAAAAAAAAATAGTTGCTAATTAATGATTCGCGTTGTACTACTACATGGTTTAATAAAACTAATTTAAGGAATTGCTAAATAGTTTAATTAAAATTTTAAATTCCAGACGTTTCGAACTCTTTAGTTCATGGTCACAAGAAACTTCTCGTGTCCACCCTCGAACACGTCGAAACACACAAGGAACCACCGCTTCTGAGGCGGTTATCACCATTACCAGCCGCTACTAACAACCTGCGCTGCTCCCGGACGGCATGCATATTTAATACAAACACCAGTTAACATCGGGTTATCACTATTCACCTCAAAAGTACTGACAATCCCGGTGATTGCTTTCGAAAATGGAGAATCGGTCTTTAAAATTATACCCAGAGCCCAGTTAGGCTCCTTCCAACCTTCCGCGGTGATTTTTAAATTACCTTTAGTAAATTTAGGGAAACGTTAACAAATAACGAATTGTCAGCATTTAAAAAAGTTCTACATTTGGGGATCCCAGACTAAATTTTACCTTATTGTTTAAAAATTAACTATTCAGAGTATTAATAGTGACGGACACTAAGGAAATAACACCAGGCATATAGTCATAACAATAAAACCTAAAACTGTTTATTTTTTTATTTGGTAGAGGTTTACTTATAGTGCCTATGTACCTATACCTAATAGGAGCAGGAACATCAAAAATTGCCAGAGACAGGCATCCTTAACACCTTACAAGTCAGCCTGATAAACTGCATATAAGTAGAACCAAACAGTAACAGGTTTATTAACCGCAAACCTTATTGTTCGTGCAATATAAGCGGATATTAAAAAACTTCGTCATATCATTTTTAAGGTATTTAATTAGAAAAGGCTACGGCTGTTATTTGTAATCTATGTATAGAATTTTATTTATACTTGTATTCCTAATATCCTATGCATCGGTATGTTTCGTGATAAGTGTTACATGATCTCATGTTTATTAGTTTGCTGATTTGGTAAGGCGTGCTACAACTTGTGCGTGTCGGCCTAGATTCGTCACTTTTTGTAAGAAGCAGACCCGAATCACCACAACAAATATTTATAGACATCTGCATACCTAGCATGTTAAATTAGCACATTTAGAAAGTACTACAAATTACAAATTTACTACAATTTGATAACATTGATCGGCCTAACCCTGCAGTTAACTTTTATCACCGGACACTTTTCAGCCGTAATGTTTGTTCCAGATTGGATGTACCATGTCTACTAGCTATGTTAGTCTTGAAAGCCTAATGTATATCAAGCCTAACAAGGTAGAAACGCGTTTAATAAAGTATTTATACGAACCTCGTTATGGATGTTGTCATTTATTGCGCTTAGTTGAAAATAAGTGCAATAATGAGAGCTCCTCTCACTATCAAATTAGGTATTTACCTGGAATTTTGATGTTTGAAATGTCACAATATATGTCATTTAATGTTGGTTAATATTTACAGAATTGCATTCTTCATGGGTGCAGTCTTGAATTTTTTGCTTTCAGTTAGTTGCTGTGTTTACCTACTATAAAAATATATAACAATGTCTATCATCTTTAATATGTGATTGTCTTATAACTCATTTGTGAATTCTCAACTTCATAATGTATATATGGTACTTTTTATTCAATTATATCAGCAAAATAAGACAATTTGTTTAAATCGTCTCACTAAATAATTTGAACAATAATTAGAAATGAATCTAAAGTTGTGTACAACCTACTTGTAATGCTTGTATTGTATAACCGAGCCTATTGAGTTGTAATGAATGTCTTAATTATAATTCAATGTTGTATTATAAAATACTTTTAATAGTTTTCTGCCAATTACAGCAACTTTAATGGTAAGAATTAGAAGCCTGGTTTTATAAACGACATACCTTTCCTGTAGTTATTAATTTGGAAAATTACAAATATTCTATCACACCTTAGTACACCATGTTGCAGATTATTATTTTTTTCTTTAAAGGTTTTTTTCTTGGTAAAGGTCGAATTTAAAATTTTCATCAATAATTTATTTAATTAGGCAGTATACTTCAAAAATAACGAAATACCAGTGTAATTCATACTTGAAAAAATATGGATAGGTTTTCTAATATCCAGAACTTCATACAATATTAACATAAACATGATATTTATTATACATATCCAAACATAATAACATAACAGGGTCAGTGTCAAAACAAATCACCCTAATTATGATTACAAATGGTACAACTCTCAGTCATCAGAAAAACTTCTAACAAGCAATATATTTCAATTCAATATCAAATTTTCCAAATTTTAAGACATGGTAACTAATGTTTATAAAACTGGATCTAAGTAAGTTATGACATTTATATAACCATAAGTAAATGATATACTACAATAGTGAACAGTTGTTATAAAGGTTAAAATTTGTAATAAGAAATTAATCAACAAATTGTATTAGCAGTATTGAAAAATAAAACAATTGTACAATAGTAAGTCATTGAGGCTTATCACATAAAATATTGTATCAGGAATTTAAAATATCTGTTAAAAGTACAACAAACGTAGTAGCAGCAGCTCTGAAGTGAACGCGTAGATTTGTTTACAGCCTACAAACTGCTGGACATGGGCTTTTCCAATAGTGGTAATTGATAGAAACCTATGTCCAGCGATTTGTAAACTGTGCAATCCGAGACCTCTTGAAGTTGCAGGATACATCAGGTTCACTTTCTT